ATCTCAAGAATATTAAGTATTCCTCGCTTAGCTTTTTTTGTGCATAGCAAGAAAAAGAAGTGGCTCCAGTACCAAGGGGCTTAGGTAGGAAATTCAGTTGTACAAGGTAATGTTTCAGATTCAAAGTGACATCGCTCCTTTTTGTAGTTACAGGTGCTGCTAGACTTCAAGGATTTAATGTTGTGTTTTTGAAAGAGGAAAATACAAGGTAATGAATTACTGGAGTAGAGAGAAGGTGGTGAGTTAGTTTTGGTTTAAGTAGGTGAGGGCTCATCTGATTGATACAGTGACTTGAGAAGAACATGAGCAGAAGGGTCTTACTGGTGGCTGTAAGCAGTTGTAAGTACTTGTACTGCTTTTGAATGTGTTCTAGAAATTTGTATGTGACAGCCGTGGTGGACAAAAATGTAAATTATTGTCTGGGAAAAGGTTTAATGTGTTTTTTAAAAAAAATCTAGAAGAGCCATTCTCAGTTTTATAGCACACTTGTTTCTGACATTTTGGCTTGAAACAGCTTCACTTCCTCTTATTTATATATTGCTATTCGCATCCGTTAAAGAATGGGTTTGCTTTTCTCTAAGTGCACTTTGATGGTTCTTCAATACATGCTTGTGGGACAGATCACGCGTGCAATTCTTTTCTGTTCTCCAGCCATTAATCCAGACTACTATAATGACTGGAAATAACCACGTCCTAAAACCAAAACCTTATCTTCTGAAACTTGCTGGTCTTTCAGTAAAATAAATGAAAAAGCAGTCTCTGATGTTGCCTTTCTCCATTTAGATCTTGGGTTGTGATTTAAACTTTTATCCTATCCATAAAGAGATAATTTACAGGTATTTAAGGCAAACTCATGTGGGTGAAGGGGAAAAAAAACCTGTTAGGCTTAAATTCTTTGTTGTGTGGAATTGTTTATCCCTTTTGGCATAGTGAGTGGTCCCTTTAATGTTTTAAACTAGAACAGACTAAAGGGCTGTAAATATAGGTAAATTTTCTGGTCAAAATATGAGTGTGATACTTTTCGTGATGATTGTTTCCACAATATTTTCCCAGAACAGGTAATTAAAGACAGTGAGATGTTCCCAATACTGGTGTTAATTCTGGGAAGATTTCCCAGCTGGTGCGTCTGATAGAGCCAGCTGGAAATCTTGGACCATGGCAATTGACTGAGCCTGAAAATTCTATTGAGTTGAAGTCTTACAGGTTAGGATGACAGGCTGGAATAATACGTAACAGTGTGTTAATTTGATCTTGGTTGGTCAGTATGTCCCTGGGATGTACAAAGTAGTGTTTTGTGAAAGTCCGTAACTCTTCCCTTCTCTCCCCTCCTGCTGCCTGACAGCACAGTGGTTTCACCTGGAACTCTGCAAGAATGGATCCTAGTTGTCTTGTCTTCTTGCAGGTTTGGATGCTGAAACATCCTGGTAAGGTGAAGGGAAGGCCCCATGTTGGCACTTACTGTGTGTGTGTTTGTGTGTACGTGCGGAGGAGTCGGGTAACATCACCTCCAGCACCTCCAGAACATTACTCAGCTTTAGGTAGTCTGCCTTACTGGAGCCTTCCGCAGGTAAGACCAAAGAAATGCTCTATTAATGGTTCTTCCAGCCTGGTAGTTTGTCTCCAACAGTGGTAATACAAAATATTAGGGAGGGGGTGCACACCTGGCCACTTGTTGGTGTCCAGTGCCTCTATATTTCCCTAGTGTCTACAATTGTTGAGTTAGGGATGTTGGAGGATACATTCCAGCTAGTTTCTTTCAGTATTTGTTTTGACCTGTTGTCTGTGAATACATTTAAGTCCTTTTTCTGAACCTGCTGATGCTGTGAGCCTCAAATCCTGCAGCAAGGCTCAGGAGTTCACTACCTAAAGTGTAAGTGTGCTTTATCCTTTTTTAAACGGATCTCCTGTTAGTTTCAACAAGTGCCATGAGTTCTAGTAGTGCATGATTTGGTGAAAAGCTGTTTTACATTTATGCTATTCATCTTGTTTCTGACTTCTGCAAACCTTACTCGTATGTCCTTTCAGCCTTTTCTTTTCCAAACTGAAGAGTCTTGGCCTTAGCGTCTCTGCAGCGAACAGCTGCTTCATCCCCTCTGTTGTTTTAGTTGCCCTTCCAAAGGCAACAGAAGAGAGAGAAGACCAGAACTGTGCACATCACTCCCAAGTATGGGCATAGTAAGGTTTTATACAGCAGCAGAGTGATTCCTTTGTCGTGCTTTCATCTTGTTGGATTCTGGGTTACCGCTGCATATTAAACTCATTTTTTCAGAGAACTGTAGGTGTAGAAAAAGACTTAATTAGCAACTACGTTCCCAGTGTGTGCTGCTAGGTTCCTGAAGCCAGGTTGGATGGACTGGAGCTTTGAGACTGCTGCATTCCTGTTACCTGTCTTTTTAATATGGGTTGGCAATATTTTCATGCTACTACTGGCTGTGTTGTGGGTTTAAAAAATGAGGTCTTTGGAGTTCAGACTGTGTGAGAAGGTGTGTAGTGCTCAGCGAGATGGTCTTTTTCCCCAATAAAGCATCTTGATTCTGCTGAAAGTGGCAGCAAATGTATATTATATATCTAAACAGACAAATAGCAAAATGACCACTAAAATTGATGCTTTTGGTTAGACATTGTCATTATTTCATTTCAGTAGGAATAAGCTTGTGGTACCTCACGAAGGCTTCTGATTTCCAGCTATACTAGCTTTGTCCTTCTTTTGACATGTTTTGTGGTTTCAAAGGTACTGGTCCTGTTGTGACCTCTCTCAGGCTTCATAAACATCTATGTTTTGGCTGAGCAAATGTCAAGTGTTTTTAGTAAAAAAATATTTTTCCTGTAGAGGGCAGGTTAAACTCAATTACAAGAACAAAAACAACTGGGCAGCACAGTTTGAATCTGCTTAAAAAATATGGATGTAACTGGAAGTTGTTAGGGAGCCTAAGTTGGGCAGGAACTTGCTGGAGCATTAGAAAAGGCATGTGACATTCTCTGACAGTACAATGATGTAGTCTTAGCCTTGGAGGAAAATCTTTAGCTTTTGTAACAAACTACTGGCTTTGCAGATGGATTCAAGCCAAAGCTTGAACAGCTTTGGCAAATCAAGAATTCTGAAATTGAATTTTGTTTAATTAAAACTAAAAACTTTTCTAGTCTGTGATATAGGCCAATTTGGTTCCGCTTCTACATTGTCTGTAGCAGTCCGCGATTCTCCTGCAATCTATAAGGCAGGTTAGAGAGAATCGATGTTTTCATTAACTACTGAGACAAGCAATACTGTTCAGCTTCCAACTCAAACAATACGTCAATTCCTAAAAAGGATATACATTCGTGTCTGGTGTAACCATGCTGAAGAACATTCTTCTAACAAAAATAAGCAGTTCTTCACAAAGAAAACATATTCGTGTGCAAGAGCTCTTAATGGAGGAAGATTTACTGTCAAACACATTCTTGCACATGCTTTCTATTCATCTATTACAGCATGAACCCAAACTTCACCGCATCTCACAAGTACTGTAAGTTTAATACTGTTGCATTAACTGTATGCTTAGCATTGTTTTCCAGCATATCTTCGTACATTACTTTGAAGTGTTTACATGACCTCTGCTAACAGCGTTGAGTGTTTCAGTAGTACTCAGTGCATGTAATTGCAATTTGCTTGTTTGAGGAACCAGTGCTGTGTATTCCCCAGGTGAGAGAGAAACTGGGCCACAAGGACACGGATCTGCCTGCGCAGCCTATTCCACTGAAAAGCAGATATTTACATCAGGAGTCTGTAGTAGCTAAGAGCTGTGTGTAGCTCACGCTCTAGTGTCAAGACGCAGTCTGCAATGTGAATGTGCTGCAAGCATGATGGCAGAGGTCTGTGGTAAAGCAGAGGCTGTAATCCAGAGTTCTTAATTCCAGGCTTGTTCTCTAACCAGTGTACTACTGTTCTTACTTTACAGGTCCTTTTTGCATGATATTAAAGTGCTTTGCATAGAGTACAAGTTAAGAAATATATCTTTTTTTGTGAAAACATGATTTAAGACACAACTAAGAATGTTTGGGAGTAGAATATTAATGTAATAACATTAGAAAGCATTCCTGTTCCTGTAGCTACCATGAAGCATGGAACTTGAAACACTACAAATAAATTTTATGTATCAGAAGAAGCTATGCTGTTAGTGGAATGAGAAAGGGGTTTCTCATCTCAGCATGTTCTTCGTGCAAGAGGAGGGGTGCGCCTGCATCCCCTGTAAAATGTGCAGCTCTTGGTGTTTGGGAGTCGGGTGGAGAGTGTGAGGCACCCATGCTGATAGTCTGAGGCATAACAAAAGAATGTGGTATCTGTTACCCTTCTGCCACTGCCATCTGAAAGTGAAAAGGAGTGTTAAAACTGTGTAAAGTAAAATACATCACTTGGGTACTTTGTCTTCTTTCAGGGTTTTGTAGCATATATTTTTGGCTGTAATTCCTCTGTCCTCCTTGGTAGTTGAGTAGGACAAGTGAGTGTGTGCTCCTGTCTTCCTCTTGTGCCGTGTTCCGTGTGGTAGTACAGATCTGCTTGCTCATTTGAGTTTTCTTAGCTGCACTTTCTGGGATCGTGATCCCCAGTGAAATGGCTTTTTGGTTTTTCTCTTCTTTTTAAAGATGGGAGTCTTTGAGTAGGTGGTACAGCCTGTTTTTCTTTGAAGGGAAGAAAGAGTAGCGAACTGGAAGTTTGGGGTATGTCTCTGTCGGCTTTCTGAGAGAGAGGGAGCATTTCTTGTATGTTTAAGTTCTTTTTTTACATTTCTTTGGGAAGAGCTTTTGCACTTGAGTTCCTATTACTTTCCTAATGGTATTGGAGAATTCAGAAAAAGCTGTCAACTACTAACCTTTCTTGTGTCCTGCTTGTTGTCAATGAAAATACTCTTAAATAAACCAGAGTGACTGGTTTGTGGTAGGTAGTGCGTTTTTTTAGGCAAAGGCTTCTTGTCCTTATAGATAATTTCAAAATAACCCTATTTCGGTAATCTTTTTGTCCTTAGGACTTTATCTACCAGTGATGATGTTGAGGACCGAGAGACTGAGAAAGGCCGCCTGGAAGAAGCTTATGAGAAATGTGACCGGGATTTGGATGAGCTCATTGTCCAGCACTACACTGAGCTCACCACTGCGATCCGCACATACCAGAGCATCACAGAGCGCATCACCAACTCGCGCAACAAGATCAAACAGGTGAAGTCTAGCTTTGCACGTGTTTCTGTGTTTGCATCCGCTTGATAGCGTGTACTCTGTGTACAAATCTGTGCAACTCCTGTACCTTTTTCCTGCGTACTGTCCTTTCACTGGTAGTGTTGTAAGCTCCCATTTTAGCCTTTTATTTCTCTCTCCCTTTTTCCAGCTACTTGTCATCATCCTGAACTGAACTAAAAAATGAATTGAGAAAGCACTGTACCGACTAATTCTGAACTAGGTCTGATTTTTCAAGTTGCTCTGTGTCATGGTTAGGAGTGGACCACCCAGTCCTAATACAGCGGTCCCACACTATGTCTTACTAGCAGTGTGTTTTCCATAGGATCTCTCTGTTGTTTGAGAACACAAGTAATTAAAAAGCAAAATGAGAAGTGGATATATAGTGCAAAGCTTTGCGGTGCCCCCTGTTCATTTATTGCCTGGGCATGTTGCTATCAGGTTTTTGAAGTCTTAAGGGCTGCTAAGCTTACACCCTTCCATCTAATCTGTTCATGTTTTGATATGTTGGCCTTCAACCTCCTCCTAAATAGTCTGGGTGATTCATCAGCTTGCTTTTCGCTCAGAGAATCTGAATTTTGGTGCTATTTCCAAATTCAGTTCTGTTGTGTGAATGTACATGAACTCTGTGCCCCCGTATCTCTCTGTATTTTGAGTGCTCACACTTCAGTAGCACGCCAGTAAATAACTCTGGCACTCTTTGTTGTGGACTTGTTCCATCTGCTCTCTCCCTGCAGCGATAGATTAGTTCTTTGGTCTCCTGTCCTATCTTTTACTTCCTGTGTAGTTTGCTATACCTAAACTTTGCAAACTAGGCACCAAATTTATTCCATTTTATTTTCCTGGCTCTGTGGAGGTCTCATCTTAAAACCTTTCACAGCAGTGCTTTAGGAGCAGTAGGCTTTTACCCTTCTGGGACTATGTACTGACCCTTCTGGCTTTTAAAATTCATTTAGCATTTTCAAAGAAAATGAGGCCATTCAGATGCTTTCCAAGGGTAAGAGTTCATTCTAGGATTTATGTACAAAGCTCAGCACTTTGAAAGCAGAGATCAATTGCACTAAATTTGAAATAAACTGTAGCCAGTGGCCTATTTTCACGCAGTATACTAAGCTTTGCAGAGGTCAAACCAAACATATAGGGGTGTGACCTTTTGGTCCCACCTAGAAGAATGACTGTAAGGGTGAAGGACCTTTTGATATTTAAGTTTTCTTATTAGTTTTGGTCAATATGTATTGAAGTAGCTTTGACCTGATCTCATGGGAGGCCCCAGGTCTGGTTTGTCATCAATCTGTATTACACTATCAGCCTGTCTTTTGATGTTCCCCTCTTGAGGAAGGTGGATGAAGGTACAGGTGTTTACTTGCATTAGGAATTGTGGAAGTGATAGATAGTCCAGATCCCTCTGTGCATCTACCTTTTGTAGTCAATTCTTGTATGAATTCCTGCTGGGAAAGGCTTGGTTTTGAATGTAGCTTTAGAGGTGTTACCACTGTAAAACTGAATTATGAAGCAGAAACAATTGGGTCTACCAAAGGGTAGTTCTTCCTTAAAGATTTGCTGTTCGCTCCTTTCCCTGCTCCCAAATGTAGATACAGTTGATCTCCTTTCTTGCAAGGACAGGAGTCGGAATGTCTTGTGAGATTCCTTCCAGCCCCATGATTGTTGTACTGACCTAATTTGGCTCTATGTAACAGCAGTCCACTGATGATGGTGTGCTAGGTCAGTGAAACATTTTAAATTAAGGTATTGAACAGGGATTAAGTCTGAAATGAACTCTATGCATTTTAGTTTCCCTCTGCTTTTGCAGCAAGTTATGACACTCTTACATTAGCTTTTCTCTTGGCTGAGGATTTTTTGATGTTGTTCCTTTCAGAAGGACATTGTGGAGTGCAGTGTTACTGTATTGAAATCTTAGTCTCTTCTGACTCTGGATTGAGGCTGTTTTATGTAGCTATTGTTATTTGCTGTTTGTCTGTATTTTGGTCCATCTATGTGTTTCGCTTCTATATTTTTTTTAAACTGCCTTTAGATGGACAAGGTAGGAGAATGTGCAGCTGAAGTGGGATTTCTGGAGTGCTTTGAAGGCTCATTATTTAAAAATAAATTGAAGGGCCTACTTCTGAGAGTCTTTCTTCATGTGTAATTCAGTGAGAGTTCAGCCTGAGAAAAGGTTGGACCCTAAGTATTCATAACTTATCACAAAAACAAGAGTGGTGTGAAAGCAATGTGTGAAGCTGCGTTGCTAATTGCTTCCACATTTTAATATGTATTATTGATTTGCATTATGCAAGAAAAGCTAGGTTATATTGACGTTACTAGAAGATATTGGGAGAACCTGAAAGCAGGGAATGCAGGCTGTGCGTTTGATCAGAAAGAATGGAGAAGGAAACATCTTGATGTTTCCTGAATGGGGTAGAATAGTAGAGACTTTGCTACTTAGAGAGGATGGCATGAGGCTTGAAAACAAACAGAATAGCAAACACCAAGGTGTTTTTCTAGGTGATGTAATGGCCTTGATAAATAATGGAAATGCTGTATTGACCTGTATCTTAACTGCTATTTGTTCCAATGAAACCACATCTCGTACAAAAAAAAAATTTGTATTGCTCAAGATATTAGGAAAATGGTTGTACTCTTAGATAGTCATGTTTCAAGAAATTGACACCAAACTTGAAGAAAGGAGGAGATGTGCCAAAAGATTTAATAGGCAGATGGAAAATGTTTACAGTGGAAAAATTAGTAGTGGCTTATTTGCTTTCACTGAAAATTGGATTCTTGCTGTATGCCAAAATACTGAATTGATTTTTAGAAAACATGCAAATAAGTCTTTGGTCATGGTTAATAGGATGCTGTGTTTGTTCACATTATGATACTTAAGTTAAATTTTCACTAGTGGTACAAAACTTGTACTAAACCCCATTTCACTATGAAGGCAGTTCCAGTTTGTATGTGCTTTATGTTTCCCTTCAGCCAAAGGAATAACCAGAAATTTTAAGGAACTTTGGTTTGCTTATAGTCTTGTGATATTTTTGGAATTCCTAATAAAATAAATTTGGAAAAGGGCTGATCTATGTTAGAAGTGCCAGTTACAGGGACAGATTAGTTAATCTTTTGACATGTTGCTTTTAGGTGAAGGAGAATCTGCTGTCATGCAAGATGCTGCTGCATTGCAAGCGGGATGAGTTGCGCAAGCTGTGGATTGAAGGGATTGAGCACAAACATGTCCTGAATTTGCTGGATGAGATAGAGAACATCAAGCAAGTGCCTCAGAAGCTGGAACAGTGCATGGCCAGCAAGCACTACCTCAATGCAACAGACATGCTGGTAAGATGCAGTACCTTGTGCTGGGCCAGTATCTAGCAGAAACATGCTGGTCAGCTGTCTGATCACCTGCAGACAGATCTGCCGTCTGTGCTATTATTTGCCTTTTTTTAAATTTTTTTTATTGCTTAGTTTCTTTGGTCATTTGCTGCTTTCTTGTACGGGAATTTCTGTTTGGTTTTGTTTTGATCCTTCCTGACTGGACTTAGGGTTACAGTCTCTCATCCTGTTTGGTTAGCTCTTGTCTTTCAGAGCTGTCTGTTTACGTGTCCTGACCCTGGTGATTTCTGTAACCATCTAGTTCTTTACCCATTTATCTGCACAAAGGATTTCCTTCTGCTTTTGCAACCTGTATCATCTTCTTTCTTTATATCTTAACAATTATTTCAAAACAATATGTGTTATTGTGGTGCGTTAATTCTGGCTGAATGCCAGGTGCCCACCAAAACCGTTCTATCACTCCCCCCCTCCTCAGCTGGACAGGGGAGAGAAAATGTAACAAAGGTCTTGTGGGTCGAGATAAGGACAGGAGAGATCACTCAACCAATTACCGTCATGGGCAAAACAGACTCAACTTGGGGAAAACTAGCTTAATTTATTGCCAGTCAACCAGAGTAGGGTAATGAGAAATAAAATCAAATCTCAAAACACATTCCCTCCACCACTCCCGTCTTCCCAGGCACAGCTTCACTCCTGGATTGTCTACCTACCCCCTCCCAGCAGTGCAGGGGGATGGGGAATGGGGGTTACAGTCAGTTCATCACTCGTTGTCTCTGCTGCTTCATCCTCTTCAGAGGCAGGACTCATCACACTCTTCCTCTGCTCCGGCGTGGGGTCCCTCTCATGGGAGACAGTCCTCCATTAACTTCTCCAGCGTGGGTCCCTTCCCCGGGCTGCAGTCCTTCAGGCACAGCCTGCTCCAGCGTGGGTCCCCCACGGGGTCACAAGTCCTGCCAGCAAACCTGCTCCAGCCTGGGCTTCCCATGGGGTCCCAGCCTCCTTCGGGCATCCCCCTGCTCCGGCCTGGGGTCGTCTCTCCCCGGGCTGCAGGTGGAGATCTGCTCCCCCATGGACCTCCCTGGGCTGCAGGGGGACAGCCTGCCTCACCGTGGTCTTCCCCACGGGCTGCAGGGGAATCTCTGCTCCGGCGCCTGGAGCATCTCCTCCCCTCCTTCTGCACTGACCTGGGGGTCTGCAGGGTTGTTTGTCTTACATGTTCTCACTCTTCTCTCTGGCTGCCGTTTCTGTGCCTGCTGCAACTTTTTTCCCTTCTTAAATATGTTCTCCCAGAGGTGCTACCACCATCGCTGATGGGCTCGGCCTTAGCCAGCGGTGGGTCCACCTTGGAGCCGGCTGGCCTTGGCTCTGTCGGACATGGGGGAAGCTTCCAGCAGCTTCTCACAGCAGCTTCTCACAGAAGCCCCCCCTGTAACCTCCCCGCTACCAAAACCTTGCGACCCAAACCCAATACAGTTATAGAAGAACTATCTTGTTTCTCTCCTATTTCATCTCCCAGAACACACTTACAACTTTGGCCATTATTCAGAGGGGAGACTGTCTTTCACCATTTAGGTGTGTTTGCCTCTCATTGTCTTCCTTTACGTCTTTTACCATGGCCCTTGGTCCTTTCTACTTATTTCCAGCTCTTTTTTTCATCTTTTTTCTCCTTCCCTTGAAGTGTTTTTCCTTTTCAGTTCCATCTCTTTTATAAGCATACCTTTCAATTCCAGTCTTGCGGTGGAGGTAGAAGTTGCCTGGCCTTCTTTAATAAGAGTCTTTTTCTGTCTTTGTTTCTAAACTTAACAAGCACACTTCCTCACCAGGCTCCAGTCCTTTCTTTCCTGGAACTGTTTTCTACCAGTAATTAAAAACTTTACAAGGGAGGTGATTTTTTACTTCTACTCAGTCCTGACATGTGGAGTGCTGAGTCCAGTAAGAGAGAGAGAGGGAGTTACTGGATCGAGTCCAGTGAAGGATCACAAAGATGGTTAAGGCACAGGAGCATCTCACGTGTAAGGCGAGGCTGAGAGAGCTGGGACTGCTTCACTTGAAGAGAAACCTCAGGGAGATCCTTTCAATGGTTATAAATGTCTGATGGGAGGGTGCAAAGAAAACAGAGCCAGACTTTTTTCAGTGGTGCCCAGTGACAGGAGAAGAGGCAATGGACACATATGACTGAAACATAAGAAATATGTCTGAACATAAGAAGACACTTTTTTACTGTAACGATGGTTGAACACTGGAACAGGTTGCCCAGAGAGGTGGTGGAGTCCCCATCCATGCAAAATTTTCAAAACCAGAGTGGATGTGGTCCTGGGCAACTGGCTCTAGGTGACCATGCTTGAGCAGGGGGGTGGATTAGATATTCTTTAGAGGTCCTTTCTGACCTTAAGCAGTCTGTGATTCAAAAATGAAGGCAAAAGAATTATGTCTGCTCATATTCCTCTTTGTGTTTGCCAGAGAACGCCTTTAAGGAAGTCTTTTCATTGCCTTCCTTTGTTATTGTTTTTTTCAACTTTACTGTCCTTTGTATTTCTCTTAGCTGTAGCTCTTCACTTCTTTTTAATAAGTCGTTATTCAACAGGATAAAGAGCTGGAATCCTAGTATTGTCACCTCATATTCCTAGAGCCCAGACATGAACTTTAATTTCCTTCTTTCCGTTTTATCTCATTTTACCTTAAACACGACTGTCTAAAACTTACCTTGTTCCCGCTGAAACATTTTCAACAGTTAGATGTCAGTCTTGTCATCCCTTTCTCTGACGGCATGTGTAACACTGTCTGGATTTTTGTTGTTGCCGTCACATCCTCTTGTCTGATTTCACTCTGCCGTCACCTTCCTCATTTTTTTTTCGGTTGCTTATGTTCTGTTTTCATGTCACACTTGGTGAAATCATCTTCTATAATCTTGTCACAATTTTCCCTTTTTTCCTTTTTGAAAACCATCTTCCAGGAACCCTCACAATCTTATTCTCCTTAGAGTCTCACTGTGCTTCTAATATGAACTGTTGTCTTGTGTCTTTTCCCACCATGTTGTAAGCCGTCTGGGATGGGTAATGCAGCTATTTCTGTTAAGTAATGTAGGGTGGAATTTTTATGATACTTCATAAAATGTTATGTAAAACCTATTAGAATTCCTGAAAACAGATCAGCAATGCAATGACTTGAGGCAGCATATATGTGAAGAGTGCAGTCAGGTTTTGTCAAAATGTTTGTCAAGTTTCTAACACAGGAAATTGGAGTGTGGTGTTCGTCTGGTATTTTCAATTATGGGAGATGAAGAAGTAGATGTAGATTAGGGGTAGCCAGTGGAGGGGGAAAAACACAGTATTCACTGTTAATGTCAGTATCAATTGAAAAATGCTTTCTTTTACTGATGGACTTGCCAGTTTCCTTGGTGTGTTTTTTTTTTTTTTCTTTTTAAATTCAGAAAAGTTATTTTCAGAAAGAAGTTCCAGAAAAGTAATTAATTTCCTATCTGGAATATAAGATAAGAAGTGTAAGAAGAAAATAACAATACTTAGGATTTATCATATAATATGCTTTAGAAGTGGTTTGCAATATGTGTATTTGTGATATCTTATTGGTTTGCAATATATTGTGTATGCAGTTATTTCATATATACACTTATATACATACACATATGTGTGGATGTAGGTAACGTTGCCTAAGGCTATGAGATAGAGCCGATATTACACCTCACTGAAGTATGGACTTCTGTATTATACTGTGCTGTTTTTTTGTTGGTTGGTTGTTTTTTGTTTTTGGTTTTTTTTCCAGAATAGAGTATCTTTTCTAAGAAATCAAGTGATAATGATACAAAAAGCAGCTGTTAAGGTTGGGGTTTTTTTTAAAAATATATCAAGAAATGCAAAGAAAACTCAAGTGAAAATTGAACACACTATTTCAGCTGTTCATTGACACTTGCAGTTCTCATTTGAAGACAAGTGTACCTGTAAAAAATAAATAGTAACCTACCTGCATTTGGAGCTTTTTCATAGACAAAAATCGCTGTAGGCTCATTGGCTTTTGCCATCTTCTGTTAACGCTGCCTCTGCAAGGCTGTGATGTTGTAATCGCTCACTGGCTGCAGGATAATTCCTTTCTCCTTTTATATGATATGAATATTATGTAAAATAATTACTAAACCGTCAGGGATGCAGAGTGTATATAGATCTCTCTGTCCTTTTGTTTCATTCCTCAAGGTAAACAGATGCTCATGGCTTATAAAAAGCCCAAAGTGATCTGACAAGGAGCTTGTATCCCTCACATTGAAATTGGAGCACTGATTAATATTGTTGCCTGTAGCCTTGTGATACGTACAGTCGAAATTAGACCTTTGCAGTCATCGTGTTAGGTTGATGCAAGCATTCTAATGGCATAATTTCTGGTTGCCGCATCACATTTCTGCAGTCTGTTCTTTGTATTCCACTCACATTAATTGAAGTAATTTTGCCGCTGAAGCATGTTTCAAACCTCTGCATTTAAATTGAAATTTTAATTCCCTTATTGTTTGGAAAAGACGGCTGAAGATGGCTTGTTACAGGTTTCATTATCACTCAAAACTCTCCAGCTGGTTCTAATGCACAATGACTGAGTAATGCTGGGAAGAATTGTTAATAAAAGAGTGGCAGCTTTTCCCAGTAGTATGAACACAATGCAAAGGTATTTTGTGACAGCTTACATTTGTATGAAGTTAAAAATTTTAAGTGGCAGCTCTTTTGTTTCTGATTCTGTATCCATCTAGAGTAGCACAGACGAGCTTCAGATATCATGTATTCATGTTCTGTGTTCCTCCAGCATCTTGATAACGCACGCTCTGGTGAACGGAGCTGGTAGGATCAAGTTTGCTGTTCTGTAATTGCACCTTACAGTTTGTTTTAAAAGAACCTAGTTCCAAGGTCCTTTGAATTGTGAAGCTTTGGAGAAATTAGGAGGGTCTGGAACAGATACAATACATTTTAGGTGTTTTCAATTTCTGTATATGATTTTTTTTTTTCAAT